ATAGGTTCGAGTGAGTGAGTGAGTTTTACTCCGTTTTTAGCAATATCCCAGCAATATCACGGAGGGGGACGCCAGAAATGGGCTTCACACATTGTACCCATATGGGGAATCGAACCCGGGGTTTCCGCGTGACGAGCGAACGCTTTAACCACTAGACTACCCCATCGCCCCGCATAGGTTCGAGACATCGCGGGCAGAGTATTTCTTTTGTCCTTTTTTTGTAGTTTGACAATTGGCCTGGAATGAGTGTAGTAAACTACGTTTATAACAAACTGGCGGATACAGCGAACGGTGTTTGGTCATGGCCACTTGATGTATGTTTTAGTCCAAATGCGTGTAACAAACTACGGATATAACGAACTGGCGGATACAGCGAACGGTGTTTGGTCATGGCCACTTGATGTATGTTTTAGTCCAAATGCGTGTAACAAACTAATACCAGCGCCTTGAGCATGTGGTAGTGCGTGGATATGTGCGATATATAAATATCCAATAATAATAATAAAATATAACGAACTAAAATTAGTGGTGCCTTGATTTCGTAATAACCATAGTTTGGTGTATATCGGAGTACCTAATCTGTCTTTGAGTTACAATCATTATGATTTTTATTATAATTTGTTTACTTTGAAGCAAATAAAAAGCATGTGAAACTTATGCCCACGTGTCAAGGCATCAAATGAGCGATCACAAAGAAGACAGACATGAATCTTAATAATAAGTGATCAGTAGCAGCGTGTGGGATCTCCCAGACAGAGAAAGTCTCGAGTTGCCGGGGGCATTGGGATAGCACAGTGGTTGGAGTGTTCGCTCTTCACCCCTTGTTCGATTCCCTATGTTAGTATGATATGTGAAGCCCACTTCTGGTGTCGTGGTCATCCATCAGCGTAAGACGATAAAGAACGTCCAAGCCCCCTCTCAACGTGTTGTACTGGAACATAGGGATATCATCCTTCGTCAGAGTGCTTTCTCTAACAGTGACTAATTAGTACGTGAAGTGTGATCTTTTTCTTCAGTACACACAATACTGAATCCAGACCGTGACTAGGTGCAGCAGACCTCTCTCTTTGAGAGTATTCGATTTTCGTTTAGATTGTACACTTAATCAGCGGAAAGATGAAAACAGCAATTTTGTACATAAAAATGTGTTTAAACATATGCTTAGAAATTATGGGAAGGGAGGGGGGTCATTGATTTTGTACATGACATGCAGGGGGGTCACTTATTTTGTACATAAATTTCAGGGGGTCATTCACATTGTACAAGCTTCTCCATAAAAATCATCATCACCCCCCTAACCATAAATTATGAACGGTCCCTTAGTTTTTTGCTCAACCGCCGACTCTGTATTCTGCAAACAGGGTTTAGGAGCGGTAGGGTAGCCTAATCAGTGTGCAAAATAGTTTCCCAATTTTGCTTGCCAGTCGGGCTAGCTATGCCTGAAAGTTACTAGCCCACAAAATAATTCACTAGCCCGAAATTTGAATGTAGAAACTAAGCAAAAGATTGCAAAAAGGTAAAATACCATCATTCATCAGGCCATAATCTTGCAAGATTTACAAGTGTATCATGACTTAACAAGTCGGAGAGTGTGATGTATTTAAAAAACGACTCCATAAAATTCACTAGCAAATCGGGCCAGTGACTGTGGAGATTTACTGGTCCGACTGGATTTTTACAAGCCACGGGCTAGCGGGCCAGCGGCTATTTTGCACACTGAGTCTAATGAGTGAGTGAATGAGTTTAGTATTACCCCGATTTTAGTGATATTCCAGCAATATCACGGCGGAGAACACCAGAAATGGGCTTCACACATTGCATCAAAACTATACATATGGGGAATTGAACCCGGGTCTTCGGCTTGACGAGCGAACGTCGATAGCCTAATGGTTAAAGCTTTCGCTCGTCACGCTGCCTTCCACAGTATACATTAATCACTGAACGTGGACAAGCCATTGCCAGAATCAAAGATCCAGACCCTCTGTGTCGTTTCAGTATCATATGCTCCTATAGTCTGTTTGCAGTGAAAACGTACCGATGAAAGTCACTTTAAACAAAAAAGTAAATCAAGTTAAGTGAAATTAAGATTGCGAATCCTCATGATTTTACCTTGCCAAATGAACATTTAAATCTCAAAATCTTATTCAACTTAGGATAAAAGTTCTTTAACAAACGATCATAGATTCAAATCGCTATTATTGGCTTGGATTACAATGGGGTAAGCGCAGTAGATTGAACAGTGAAACAAAGGCACGTGCGGTACGTGAAGAGCGTTAACTTAGACCAGCCCTACTTGTTCTCGGTGTTTCATCTAATGTGCATACACCCTTGTAATACAAACCAATAATAACGATTTGAAACTAGGATCGTTTGTTAACAACTTTTATCCTAAGTTGAATAAAATTCTGAGATTTGAATGTTCAATTGGAAAGGTAAAATGATGAGGATTCGCAATCTTAATTTCGCTTTAATCGATTTACTTTTTTATCTAGAGTAAAATTCATCGGTACGTTTTCACTGCAAACAGACTATAGTCTGGAGTCGAGAACGACATGGAAGGGTACGTATATTCTAATTTGTAATATTCTTTTGTTTTTGACTAATTTGTACAGTCAGGGAATTTCCTCGGCAGTGGCTGACAACAGAATGGACTGTAAGGATGGTGGCTTCAGGAAGGAAGAGAATCGTTTTGGTTCAAGAAGCAGTGTCCCTACTCCTGCTTGTTCCGATGTTACTTTTGATTTGGTTGTTCAGTGCCCTCGGTAGCAGTGATCATTTAATGGCTGTTTTCGTGGACACGTTGTGGAGGGAAGGTTTGGTAAGAAACCTCGTAAGCATGGTGTTTATGGGCTTGATTTGATAGATTTCTTAAACATAGAGCTTTGCAAAGTCGCATTGGAATTTTCTGTACGATACATACCTGTTACAGGATGGTACACCCCAAGAACATGTGATCAGCCCAGCATTATTGTATCTATGAATCGTAACATCACAGTTTGCAGATGACGGCGTGTGGTAGAAAAACGTCGAGTAATTCTGCTACAGCTTTAATGGCATTCAACAATTCATCGTTGTTATGCAGAATTGAGCTTTATTAAATCTCAGCTCGAAACTCAGCTGCAATCGTTTTTATTTTTTGAACAGCAGTCTTCAATGGATTTCATTTGGAGTTATGAAATGATAACTGACCATCAAATTCAGAAGTGGAGTCCTGAAGCTGCTGAGACGTAATGCTAAAGAAGATGGTGTGCTGGCAGGAAGTGCTTATTAATGTTAGATAGAGCCCTCCTCATTAGTTCTAGACGTGATTTCGGTAGCCTTGATTATGAATATGAGAAGAGTTCGGAACCACCTCTGTTTAGGCGCTGATCTGTGAATATCCGGGTTAGAATTGTGTTTTCAGCATCCCAGCCTTGTAACTGACGCGATCGGGTGGTCAGGCTCGCTGAATTGGTTGGCACATGTCATCGTATCCTTATTACGTAGATCAGTGCTCATGCTGTTGATCACTGGATTGTCTGGAACAGACTTGATTATTTGCATACCGCCGCCATATAGCTGGAATATTGCTGAGTGCGGTGTTAAACAAACAATTTGGGGGCTTTACGGGCTCTGTGCCTTAAGGTCTCGAGCGTGAAGTGTTAGAAGTCAGATATATGTTAAAAATGAAAACTGTGTAAAAGGTTGTAAAAGTCCAAGATCCATGGATATGTGTTTTGGGGGTTTATGGGACGACTTCTCAGAAAACTGTTTCCAATCATAATGTGACATGGGTGGTATTACTGTTATGTCTGAAAAGTCGCCATGCTTAACTTAAAGTGTACACGAAAATGAACCTATTTTTCTTGCTCTTTTTTAATATGAAAATTATTTACTTGGTACTTTTAAAGACAAAAACAGTAAAATTATAAAATTAACTATATATTTTTTTGTAGGAAAACGATTTTTATTTTACACATTTACCAAGTGTTCCATTTCAATAGTAAAAACACCAAGGCTTATGTCCTTGGAAATGACGTAATTGGTGCCACATTTATAAACAAATGACGTCATCAGGTTGTATGGAACCGCTTCACGTAGTGCAAGCACAAGTGTTTGATTCCAGCGTCTCAGATGCGCATACTATTGAATTGAACATGGTGCACTGTTCGGTTCCTCGCTGTATGAACCACAATGCAAACAAACATGAAACCAAAGTAAGTTATTTCCGCTTCCCCAAATCACCACGGAGAAGACAAGAATGGATAAAATTCTGTAAAAAGAAGGATAGTGACTGGAATGGCCCGACTAGTGAATCGCGGGTGTGTGTCGCGCACTTCGATATTTGCTGTCGTGTGTCGCGATCGACGACTCTCAGTCAGTCAGCTGATCGGAAACAACTACGCCCCGATGCGGTTCCATCCTTGTATGGTAATGAGGTCAAGGGACAGCACTCTCATCAAGAGCCCGACTGGTCAGTTTTTGTAAACAAACGACGTAAAGTCGAGGGAACTCTGGTAAGTAAGTAAATACCAAAATAATGTAAACATGCTACCCTAGTTTATAAGACTGTAGTTTATATATATAAAATAAAGAAGTATTTATTCATAGTTTCGGTAGCTAATTAGATGTGCGTCTCGTTCACTTCCTGGTTTCAATGACATCGATCCTCGGTGATCAGCTGATCGTTGAGCTAAAGTATTGTGCTTGGTTTTGTGATTTTGAATCGGAACCATTTGTGGAATTTACGTTCAACTTTTCCTATTATACACAGACATAATGCGCAATGATGGACTTTTTCTTTTATGACAATGACGACATGTAGCCGGTAATGTATATTTGGTATTTACTTTTTCAGAATATATTGGCGAGCTGTTACAGGAGGTGTCCGACATTCGAACAGAATTTCCAAGTTGTGCCCTTGCTGACAACTCCCTAAATGAACATCAGCCACCCTGCATGACTGAAACTCACGGAAAGAAACGGGAAAAACAAATCGTTGTCAGAAACCATAAAACACGTTTCCATTAAAACAATATTTATTCTAGTGAGAATAAAGAAATCCAGTATATACATCTGATGGAAATGTTGCACGTATAACATGGACAACACAAGAAGGAATCACCTTGCGATGATTTTTTCCCAATTTCTGCCAAATCCAGTATGTAAATCTTCTGTAGGCCAGATGTCGATAGATTCTGAAAAATATGAATATGATTTTAAGTACACATACATTGTCTTCATTTCAACATGCTGAACTTTTTTAAAATTTCGAGAAATACTACATCCATTTGGATAAAGAGTATGGGGTTTATGGTTCTAGTTAGTGGGGAGGTTTTTGTGTATTTCAAGAATGTGTCTGTTTGATAGTGTCATGTCTGATGAGAGGGTGGTGTCACTTTGGAGGAAGAAAATATGGTAGATGACAAGAGGGATAAAGTTCATCAATAACTTCATTCATTACATTAACAACAGGTCAAATTATATTGTACTGTGAAGCATTTCAAGTCGGGGTCACCTCAAATGTTTTATGTTTTTTAACATCTTTAATCCTCGCAAAGACACGAGGGCCTGTGATTATTGTGTAGGGTTGATCTTCCAACTAGGTCTATTGTGTAGGGCATATTTTCATCCAGTACTACACATCCTCAGATGGTTTGGTACACCAATCCGGTAGCAATTGTTGCTTTTATACACTTGTTTACTTTCCTGTTTTTTCTTATATTGCAAAATCCAGCATATCAGGTCATCTCATCTCAACTTACATCCATTTAACTATGTACCAATTACATGATTTTAATGAGTAGTAATATTAAAATAGCCTCTGTTAACTGTAGGGGCATTGCCGAAAAACAGAAACGGAAAGAAATTATGAACATCTGGCGGAAAGGAATTGCTCAGTAATCTGTCTTCAGGATATTCACATTTCCCATGAGTTAGAACCTATTATGAGAAATAAATGGGGCGTTCAAATTATTAATACACTAAAACAGTTAAATGAAGGCTCCAGTAACAAAAGCATAGCATGATTTACCTGTATAAGGCTTATGAGGTACTACTTTTCTTGTATCATTTCTCTGGATATACAATATTATGGAAATGGAAAAATATTGCTCTTTTCAAATTCATCTACAAATACATGGTCTGTATCTTGTTTTAGTAATGCAAATAATAATTTTAGAAATTATAAGCATATTTCGGTATATTACTTGTGTATTGGTTCATCATCACCTATGGGGCCACTGCTGTCAATGAATTCATTGTAGTATGCCTCCATACTATACTTGCTCAGTGATACGTCATGGAGGCCAGGGTGAGAAGTAATGCAGTTGTGATTTGATGTATCAAGCTTTTCCCTGATTGGAGCAACATCCTGACAACATAGCTCCTCTACTTCAGACTGCATGTGAACGCAGTGACCACAAGTGCACCTGTAACATTATCGAATGAGTAGTAATTTTACTTTGAAAAATCAATTGACTTGTATACTCATGAAGAAGCCGTTTTTTTTCCTGCAGTATAAATTCATATTTGCATTTATATTTATTGTATGTGTGTGTGTGTGTGTTTCATATCATATCATAACATATTTGAATGAAGAACTTTTTTCAACAGTTTCCAAGAGCTACTACAATTTTCTCATTAACAGTCAAAGGTCAGAAAAACTTATAACCATTGATCAATGAATGTACCGGTTTACAAACAAAACATGTCACTGTCAGTGCAGTGTCCCCTATTTTCGTGTTACTCAGATAAGATGTCGATAACGTATACTGGATGTAGCAACTTGTTTTTAATCGAGTGATAGTAGATATGGAAAAAATATACATTATCTGTAAACTAAAGTTCGTTCACTGTCGTTCTTTGATCCTGGTTTTGGTTAGAAAACACGGTAAACCGGAAAATTGATGTGCTGCGGTTTCACACACCCGATTTCACAGAAATTAATGTAACCACCAAATTATGAAAACACATTGCAAACACAAAGCAACATATACAATGCATATTCTTTATAATCAGACATGGTGTTCACATAATACAAGAGTATTTATTTGTCTGATTTGTCAACGTTGTAAACATATTTCCGGTATTACGTGCCCACGGTAATGACTGCGTTGGGGAAACGAACCCAGAACTACGTACGTGTTTGGGGAAGATAAAGCGAACTTTACTCAAGGAAAACGACAATAATACTACAATCTAGTGAAAACTCCCTGTGAAGTTAGATGTAAGTGTTATCTTCAATTATTGTTTGGACAAGCATATTTGATGACACTGACACTGTGACGGGGATGGACCAGGCGAAAAGCAAACGAAGAGTGCTGGTTATCAGGCATAGCAAGCATCACTACAAATAGGTTTATATTTTGAAATGTACATTATTTAGATAGAAGTAATATTATGATCTTACCACGGTGGTCTCGATGAATCGGACTCTGCGCTTGACGACACAATGTTTGAAGACAAAAGGTCTTCACTGGGTTCCACATCATGCACTTGATCGTATCTCGTCTTTACTTTGAAGTCTGGGAAATTAGCCCTTGTCGGTTCAAAGGAATATGGTTGGACGTTTTCTTGATTCAGTGAAAATTCTTCGCAATCAGACGACGAATCCGAGGCCATGTTGTTTGTGACAGTAAACTGGTACTGGATGTCTTTCACGTCAGATTAAGACAAGCTACCAGTTAGAGTGGCACCAATTACGTCATATCTAAGGGGGGGGTAACTCAGGCCTGTTTCGCTCTGAAATCGAATGCTTCATAACGGCGCACCATTTTCACACGTATTTTCAGGTTCAAACTATTAATATGAAAAAGATGAGTGCATATATCCAAAAATGAATAAGTAATAATTCTAAAACTGAATTTTGATTCATGTAAGAAACAAAATGATTTTTTTCGTGTACACTTGCCCTTTAAGGAACTGGAACGGGTTGATAAACCTGATGGATGCGAATGATGCTGGAAACTTTGTTACTAAACACAGGGAAAAGGATACACGATTAGTGGGTATTTTCCGCTGAAGCTATCATAATTATTCCAGCACTGCCTTGGATTCGTGTAATTCTACCAGTGCTTTACGACCAATTCAGTGAGGTTCTTTCTCGGCGTAGCAGGATTTAAACAACATTGCGCTCGTCCGGCGCATTGAGTTAGTAAAGATCTTTCGGATGTCGAACTTTCAATGCTACTTTCTTATGTTGAGCTACTAGGAAATGAGATAGCTGGTAAATTGGCAAAAGCTGCGTTAGACTTCGATGAGTCAGAAAAGGGTGACAGAACCCCCACCTCTTTTTGATCAATCAGTCACCGTTAGTTCTTTATTGTATTGTATGTATCTATTTCGGAAATGTAGGCCATTCAACACATAATTCACAAACAATTCAGAAACTCTTGTTTTATTAAAGTTCCGCCCTCATCACGTTACTATCAAATGCCACTCATGAAAATATCATAGTTTTTCTCTACCCATTTGTTGTCTTAAATCGATGCGGCAAAATATGCATACATCTAGTTTCCGAGCGGGGCGGTGGGGCAGTCTAGCGGTTAAAGCCTTCGCGTGTCACGCCGAAGACAAGGGTACAGTGTGTGAACCCCATTTCTGGTGTCTCCCGTCGTGATATTGCTGGAATATGGTGTGGCGTAAAACTAAACTCGCTCCCAAAGAGCAGACTCCACTAGATCAGTAGTGAGACTCGGTGGCTTGGCCAGCTGCATGTCACCCTGCCCCTACTTTGCAGCGTGTTGCTCATGCTATCACTCACTGGGTTTCCTGGTTTTTCATCTTTACCGACTACCGTGTTAAAGCTGGTGTTTTAAAACAATTGCAACATTTGATATTTATATCATTCCAGGTACATGACGGATGTGTAAGGTACATAATACTAGATGCAAAAGTGCCTGCAGGTAGTAAAGGAATAGCTATATGCTGCTTCATTACTACATTCGACAGTGATCGCGTCACTCTATGTGTACAAGTCCATCACAAGGGTTAAATATTTCAATGTCAAAACAATTAAGGATCATATTTATAATGTTAATTTTCATTTAATTATTGGGGTTTTTTTAAAGGAAATAGAATTACTAGATAAATTTTGAATAGAATGTTTTGTAAATACATAAGAGGTGTTTAATATATGGTAGTTTAGGTTATCAACTGCGATTGTTAGTGGCCTCCTGAGAGAGTTCTTAAGTCCCAAAACATTCAAAGTACATTTAAACTTGCCAACTTATTAAAAACGTAGTATTTTTGTGATTTAAATTTTGGCTAAATTTCCCTCCAATCGCCAGCGGCTGAAGGGATGGTGTAAATCCAGGTTGGGTCCATGCAGCCAGCAAAGGCACTGTTAGTCCCCATGGTCCCTAGTATGGTGACCTACCTTCAGTTGTAGATCTATAGCCCATTTTTACATTGTGTTGTCACTTAACAGATTACTATTTTATATGCTCCCCAACTTGTTTTAAATATAATGTGATGTACTAGTTGTTGTACTGTCCTTGGGCGACAGGATTTTATAACCTTTAAATATATTTCACTCTTTATTAGTGCTGCATAAGGTTCTCTCGTCACGATATGGCTGAAATATTGCCGATGTGACAAAAAGATTTAACTTACTATGTGTACAATTCAACAATATGCTTTGTTAAAGTGAGCACTCAGAAATATTCCAGCTATATGGCGGCGGTCTGTAAATAATCGAGTCTGGACCAGACAATCCAGTACTCAACAGCATGAGCATCGATCTGCGCAATTGGGAACTGATGGCATGTGTCAACCAAGCGGAGTGCGGCGTAAAACTAAACTCATTCACTCACTCACTACCTCTCGTACATGCTGACAGCGGCGCTGACATAGGGAAACACAGGTCGGAGATTCTGGTATTCGTGTATCTCAAACAGTACAATGGCAGCGTTCTGTATAATGATGACATGTGTGCATGCCCTTCATCTGCACATGTCAGCATGGCCCCCGGCATGAATCTAGACTTACGTCATCACAAACGCAAAGAAATGTCCATGACTCAAACACCCAATAGAACGGACAAGTCATGTGGATGTCTGGGAGGCTGGCGGGCCATTTGTATAATTGTTAGCTGTCAATCTATAAATGAGTTACGGGTAATGTCCATGTATTCCCTAAATACGTTTCCCAGTCGAAACGTTTAATTCATATTGAATACATCAACATGTACGTCAGTCCGCGTTACGAGTAATCGCATCAGCATCAACATCATCGAAACGTGTGACTAAGGCAGGACAGCGAGGGCGTGATCATGAGACACTTCCAACACTGTGATGAGAGGAGCAAGCAACAGAAAGGGAACGTGTCGCGATCAATTCTCAGAGTTTGGATCATGGAAATGAAATTAAAATTCCATTTTGTAGGGCTTACGCTGGAGAAGGGGCTGAATGGGGGCCCAGTGTTGCCGCGAGTTTAGGATATGCAACAGTGAAGACGTCAGACTCAACAAGTGACACACACACATTCCACCAGTCGTGACTCACACACACAATTACTGCGGGATTACAACTCACGTGAGCGGAAATAAACCCCAGTCTCGCGAGACTTGGCCAATACGGAAAAATTAGTGCGAGGTAAAGTTGATTTGTTCTGGGAGCGCGTCGTCACAGACATGGAACTAACATGGACGGGTGTTTGTCTTTTTCATGTAGCGTTCATGAAAGAAATTTAAACTAGGTTAATTTTGCCTCACGTGCGCTGATTCACGACGCCGGGATACATCTAATTTCTGCTGCACGTGCTCAGATTTGCAGAGGCTGTTCTCCTCAGAACCTTCTTCGTGTGATCGGGTGATAATACGTTGCTTGATTACTCCGATGTGGCTGTTATTAGCGACGGGCGCGGACAACCACACCCCGGGGAACCCCTTAAGTCAGCTTGTCACTTAACTGTCATTTCAACTCTGAACTTAACAGTCCGGAAGAATCTTCCTCATTTTTTAAAAGCAGAATCAAAGACGTTTTTCTGTCGTTTGCAATTTGGAAATCACTGTTGCCATTACTTTGGCGTTTTCAGATCTTTCTCTACAGACGTATTACGTAAGAATTAAGCTTTTGAAATGAATTTGGTACAAGTTACATTAAAGGGTTTCAAATTTGTTTGATTTGTCAATCGTAATCAAGTTTGCATTACACGCAAAATAATGCCAGCAAATGTTTGTTGGGCGTGATGTTTTGTAGAGAGTCATCATCGGCCTCATTGAAAATGTTCCTTATTTTAGTGGCGCTAAAAGTGAATGGGAGTGAACCAGGTGATTAGATGTTCTCTTTGACGTCGTGATTACTACATGTGTATACAGTGAGTGAGTGAGTGGATGAACCAGGTGATTAGATGTTCTCTTTGACGTCGTGATTACAACATGTATATACTGTGAGTGAGTGAGTGGATGAACCAGGTGATTAGATGTTCTCTTTGACGTCGTGATTACAACATGTATATACTGTGAGTGAACCAGGTGAGTGAATTACAACATGTGAACCAGGTGATTAGATGTTCTCTTTGACGTCGTGATTACAACATGTGTATACAGTGAGTGAGTGAGTGGATGAACCAGGTGATTAGATGTTCTCTTTGACGTCGTGATTACAACATGTATATACTGTGAGTGAGTGAGTGGATGAACCAGGTGATTAGATGTTCTCTTTGACGTCGTGATTACAACATGTATATACTGTGAGTGAGTGAGTGGATGAACCAGGTGATTAGATGTTCTCTTTGACGTCGTGATTACAACATGTATATACTGTGAGTGAGTGAGTGGATGAACCAGGTGATTAGATGTTCTCTTTGACGTCGTGACAACATGTATTACAACATGATTAGATACGTCGTGATTACAACATGTATATACTGTGAGTGAGTGAACCAGGTGATTAGATGTTCTCTTTGACGTCGTGATTACTACATGTATATACAGTGAGTGAGTGAGTGAGTGGGTGAACCAGGTGATTAGATGTTCTCTTTGACGTCGTGATTACAACATGTATATACTGTGAGTGAGTGAACAAGGTGATTAGATGTTCTCTTTGACGTCGTGATCACTACATGTGTATACAGTGAGTGGGTGAGTGAGTGGGTGAACCAGGTGATTAGATGTTCTCTTTGACGTCGTGATTACAACATGTATATACTGTGAGTGAGTGAACCAGGTGATTAGATGTTCTCTTTGACGTCGTGATCACTACGTGTGTATACATGTGAGGTGATTAGATGTTCTCTTTGACGTGTGAGTGAGGTGAACCAGGTGATTAGATGTTCTCTTTGACGTCGTGATTACTGTATGTGTATACTGTGAGTGAGTGAACCAGGTGATTAGATGTTCTCTTTGACGTCGTGATTACACGTGTGTACTGTGAGTGAGTTAGTGAGTAGGTGAACCCGGAGATAAGATGTTCTCTTTGACGTGATTACTGCATGTGTATACTGTGAGTGGGTGAACCAGGTGATTTGATGTTCCCTTTGACGTGATTACTGCATGTATATACTGTGAGTGGGTGAACCAGGTGATTAGATGTTCTCTTTGACGTGATTACTGCATGTGTATACTGTGAGTGAGTGAACCAGGTGATTAGATGTTCTCTTTGACGTGATTACTGTATGTGTATACTGTGAGTGAGTGAGTGAGTGGGTGAACCAGGTGATAAGATGTTCTCTTTGACGTCATGATTACTACATGTATAT